TTGACTGAATTGTTTACAGCTTCACTTCTATGTGTTAATTGCCCCTTGGGGATAAATAAAGTCTTTCTGATTCTGATTCCTCATCCTGAAAAGCGAGCTCCAAGGACGCTAACTTCTCCTTGAAGACAAGAAATGCAGTTCCAAAAAGCAACAACATGGCAGTCCAAGAGACAACAGCAGAGTCTTGAGCAGAGAGACCCAGCAGCAGCAGTATGTGCTGAGAGAAAGGGAACCCATCTTCTGATTTGATGGATGGACATGCGTTTCCAGCAAGCTGCAACTTCACTGTGTGTGACTGGTCTTTGAGAAGACTGTCTGAGTTTGACATTTTCCATGTTTGGAGTGAAATGGCAATGAACGAGACAGTGGGGACTGCACAGGACAAAGCTGAAGCTGGAATGCTGCAAGGGGGAGAGGAGACCAAAGTGGACAGAGCAGGTGAGGACCCAGAGGAATGCTGTTGTTTAGAGTGGGAAATTAAATTTGGGTTGGCGAACCTGGGAGGAAAATGACTGCTTTAAGTGGGAAAATTGAAAAGGAGTCTAAGACACTGCAGAGAGAAAGGTACACAAAATCACACACAAACAGAAAATGCATTAACCATACTAACACATACAATGAAACTCATGAAGACCAGACAGCATCTTCAGCATGTTTCTGTTTGTCATCTTGTCCAGTTCACTTAGTAAGATGAGAAGTGATACATAGACCACTGGACTGATATTATAGTAGGACAGATGATTAAATTATAGCAGGGGCAAACAGAATGCTGAAGAGGGGTCTGAATGAGTGAGGCTAATAGGTTGTTGAGTTTCTTGTTTCTGATGTGTGGAGGAAAGTTTTAACATGGCACACACCTGGTTACATGAGAAGAAACTCGTGATCTAATAAGACATTAGGGTTATTTTGTGAGGTGTGTGGCTGATGGATGCTTTGAGATAATCTCTGTCGTTTGAGAGATCTGCACGATTAGAACAGAAAGCGCTATACAACATTGTTGTCGGGAAAACGGTCGCAAAGTGAGCTTTTCCATATTAAAATGGGCTCGGGGGAAAGCCACTTATTTGGGACAATCAGAGAGCAAGTCCCGGTTTAAAAGGATTCTTTTTACTTTCTAAAGTGGCGTCATATTGCTGAAAGTGGGAACGAAATGCGACAAGATGCAAATGCTACTATCAGCAATGAATAATAAAAAAAATGGGGAACTGACTGGACTGACAAAAGTTTGACAGAAGTTGACTTAACACCAACATGTAGGATTGCACCTCCACCCAGATGTGAAGGGTGGATGTATGGATGTGTGTTTCTTTATTGCAGGAGCAGGAGGATGACAGAGACCAGAGGGGGAGATTTTAGGGTCACATGAGAGTGTGGGCCCTGCAGACTTTAACCTTTAACTGCTACTTTTCTGGGAAACTGATGTTGTGTGAGGAAACTGTGTTTACAGCCTGTGTGTTGGTTATGCTATTACACTGTGTTGTTGAGAAAATGTTGAATGTTACAGCGGGGGAATGAGCATACAATGTGAGACACATACTGTGTTGAAACCAATGTCACTCTTTTCACGGCAGATTGTTAACTTTCTGGCCTTTTACAGCACCTCTGGAATCTGGTGACCCAGGCCTGACCTCCAGGATGCTGCTGCTGCTGTTTGTTTCTCTCTAAGAGCGCTTGTGGAGGATTCAGCACAGACAGACAAGTGACAACAGAGCAGATGTGCAGTGATTACAGAACATTTTAGTGTTCGGCTCATTATCTGACCATCATTGAGCTCATAGAGGTAAAATAAGTGAGTGACATTGCTTAAGGAAAGTGTCATGGTCCTGAGTCTCCTGACTCAATGTTTTGTTTTTCTTTATGCTTTTGTTTATCCTGAGTATGTACTCCGTTACGATTTGCATTTGTTAGGTTTGTGTTCTGTGCCTGCCCTGGTCCCACTTCTGTGTTCCACGGTGTTCTGTTCCTCCATCTGCGTCTCTCTGCCCCGCACCTCGTTTCTTATGATCTCAGGTTTGTCATTTAGTTTTCCCAGTTCAGGTTTCTCCAGTCATTTGTCATTCCTCACTGCCTGTTTTGTCTCTCAGTTACTGGTAGATAAACGTCACTAGCATTATCATCTACTGCCTGCATTTTGGGTCCTTTCTCACTCCAACACCACACGGCTCACCTCGGCAGCCGTGACAGAAAGTCAATGATTACAGTAGTGTGGAATAAGCACAGCACAAATTCTATTCAAATAAAAAAATAAAGACCTGCCAGGAAATATTCAGAGTATGGGTTTTTTTTGAAAGAAGGAAGTTATAATTTAAGGGGTTTTTGTAACTTCAAAACAATGAAGGTCCATACTACAAGAAAAAGCTTTTGTCCGTGGGTATCTTTCTTTGCCTTTAGACAACAATTCTGATGGCAAAAGAGCCAAACGGGACAGGCCAAAAAAAAAAAAAAAAAAAGTCATTCTTATATTTCACTTTTACTTGTTCCCATGTTACCCTAAACCTTCAGGGTAGAGCAAGAAACCGAGGGATGAAGGGAGCGTGCCAAGCTCCAAGCGACAGCGCAGAAGGAGATCAGCGATGAAATTATGACTCTGTAAACAGCACAGACACCAGAAGCTGTGACTGTGACGGGAAATGACTGACAGCAATTTCCCCAGGAGGATCACCTAATGCTGTTTCACTGTGCCATGCAGACTTTGACACGCTGAAGAGGTTTCCTGTGTGTCATTGTTGCTGTCATTTGCATCATGAGCACTTCTACAAAGCTGGCTGAAATTTTGATGACTGTATCCCCCCACAGGAAGAACGCCTGAAGTCAGGAGATGGGGGTTGATAGAGGCCATAAAAAGCAAGTGCTGGTCCAACCCACAGTGAGGGGGCTGCTGACCAGGCCTACAGCTTTGAAGATAGCTCAGAAAGCCACCTGGATAGACAACAACACCAACTGCTGTGTTTGCATGCCCATGTGTACATACACTTGGACTCTGGCCGTATGGACAATGATACGAATGGAGAAAGCGCTGCAGAACTCAATGACTCTGCAGAGGAATCTACACCGGCAGGAAATGCACCACAAGGCTGGAATGATTTTGGAAGTGTTAATTCCTCTTTTTGGACTGTTAACTTTCATTTTCTTACTTGTAGGATGCAGTTTACCATGTGTGAGATCAATGAGAAATAGGATAACTGCTAACACATTTATCAACTGTTTGCTTTTACAGTAATATGAGGTGAATGATAGGACAGAGGATTTGTGTAAATGATGTATGGTTGAATAATTTAAAGGACAAAAAGGACAAACAGGACTGTTAGGGTGATTTTGATAATAGCTGTCATTGTTGTACTTAAATTCGTAAACTGCATGTTGAGATATTTTTCTGTTCCTCCATCAGCAGGAAGTCACACAAACACACACACACGTGCTTGCACATGCATGCACACACAGTGCCTGACACACCACAGGGGTTTTACAATGGGTGGTGCTTGTGTAAACGGTATGCATCTAAATAAAAGGTGGCAAGCAAAGGCTGGGGGCGGAGTCGTCTAAGTCGAGTGCAGAGTTGCAGCTCTGAGATCCGACCAGGCTTCCCTTTTAAGTTAAATACTGTTTAAGCTGATGTCTTGCTTTCTTCACAGGTGATAAGTCTCTGAACCAGCGGGGCCTGCAAGCCCAGACCCAACATTTACATTTCTTCACTATTGAACAGCAGTTAGGCTTTTTAGTGACATCATCCTAAAACCCTCAAATATGGGTGACAATACTAAAAGGTCCTAAATGTGCTGGTGGCATCTCCTCCCACTAATCTGAATTAGGGGTGGGTTCTGATTATCGATTTTCTGATTACAATCGATTCCAGTTTGAAAAACGCAATATCGATTCATTAAATCCTGAATCGATTTTTACATATAAACGTATTTTACCTGAGACACCAGAATCTCAGGTTAAAGCTCTCAAATTTCCAACAACCACCAAACAGCTAAAACAGTAAACGAGACCAGGAACACGGATTCTGCACAAAGACGTAAACACAAAGCTCGGACCCGCCGACAGATCAGGATCAGTGAGATGTCGACTTTCTCACCCGACGGCACGGACACGGTCGGGGCTGAATCAGCTCACTGATTCTGATGTTTCGGTGGGTCGAGCTTTGTGTTCACGTGCTAGATTCTGGAGCTGCGGGTTTTATCTCTCTCCAAACAACATTGACTGCAAAAGAAGATCCAAACTACAGATAAACATCGTCATGACTTCAGTCTGACTTTTGCTGCTTTGCTTCCACCACGATAAAATCACACTTCCTGCACAGCTCTCTCTCTCTCTGTGTACTTGAAGAACAGTTTCCCATATGCTTGCTCATTGCCAGTCTACCGTTGTTTACAGCGCTGTGGTTTTTCTTTTTACTTAAATGACTTCTGACAAGAAAGCCGCATTTCTGCTGTTCAATACTGAAGAAATGTAAACTTTTTAAAATGATCACAAATTGCAAAACTCTTAGCTGTGTCTGTAATCAAACCTCTGTAACTTTGTTTTTCTGTTTTATCCTCAGCTACTTTGACACAAAGGCGTCTGCTGTGATGCTCACACCTCTGATCAAGTCTCAAACGTGTCAGCGTTGCTTTTATAGATATAAAAATATAGATATGTACTGATAAGTGATCAGAATTATAATATTTCTGACTGTCTGAGGCAAAATTTCCTCGATTCAAATCTAATCAAATTGAATTGATTCCAGAAATCAGTGACGATACCCAGCCATAATCTGAATACATTTGTTTACATGTTATTATTCTTGTATTATCAATAAAATTGAGTTCTCAGTGTACAAAAAGGCAATGGTGATGAGGTATGTTTACCTGGATTATCTGTCCCAGCAGTCCATCCTGTAGTCCAGCCCAGAGACAGCACAGTGTGTGAGGGAAGATGAGTCACAACAGAGAGGAAGGTGTGATGCTCCAGAGGTCCGATCTGCCCCCCAGGACCCGAGAAGATGTCTGCGTTGATCCACACAGGACGGTATGGCTCAGTCAGCACTTCCTGCAGCAGGACTAAAGATGTTGACACAGCCTCCATGCTATGTGGAGAGTATAGCTCAGCGTTAGCGTCACACAGACCCACACAGCATTGGTGGAACAGAACCTGCTTCTCACCTCTTAAAGTCCAGCTTTATCCCCTTGCCGTACTCTTTCACTCTCTCCAGCCATTCCCTCAGGGTGATGTCACTGTCTGTATCAGGGGGATGTGCCATGATTGGCTCTTTGGGATCACGACCTCTCATGACAATGTCAGCTTCAATCATAAGAGAAGGACCTGAAAAACAGTTGTTGCCCATTAGAAACTGACTCGTATCTTTCTTAAATATCATCCCAACGACAAACATCACTGAATATATCTTTTTATTTTCAGCCCAGAGGAGGTTAGCGCAGTATGACGAGCACACAGTCGCTCCGTGTTCAGCACGGCCACAAAGGCTCCTGATTTTACCTCCAGCTGTGGCCTCTGCGGGGAGTTTGTATGCTCTCCCTGTGCCTGTGTGGGTTTCTCCAGGGACTCTGGCCTCTTCCCACAGTCCAAACATGGATTAAATGCTAGGTTAATTGGAAAATCTGGCTACGGATGTGAGACGGATAAAGTCCTCAAAGTGCACACAATGTAGTTAAAATGTGACTTGCAATCTAAACTTCTTTGGTTAGTCAGTAAGACTAGAAAAGTGCTTTATAAAAAAGAATGCATTACATTACAGTGTCCAGATTATTAGGCAGACCTGAGATGAATCACAGCTCACACACCAGCCCTCTAATCCATGTTACATATCATGAAGCCTCCTTCCTTCACAATAAAATTACATTTTATTTATTCAACACAAAATACAATAAGGACACGCTGTGGAAGAGAGCCGGAGATTAATAATAACTACTGATTAAATGTATCCACAAATGGTGAGTAAAAACACTGAGTGCATCATGGGAAGCTCCCAGCAGCTCAGAGCCGCCGTTTGAGGAAGCAATGTGTTCCCATATTTCTGTAGAACAGACAGAGATTATAATGCATTCTAATATTTTTACTCTAAAATTAGTATTTCTGTTGAAAAGTATGATAATTAACATGAGTCAGCGGGGAGAAACTATGATTTCAGCCTTTATCAGAGTGACGCTGCCATGGTTACGTTAATGCGGTTGCTAATGTGAAGGAAGCAGAAACTTAACACGATCACGCAAAATAGTTTCAACCTTCAGGACGAAACAAGGGCTGATTTAGACAAAATGACCTTTAACATAAACAACAATAAAATGTCAGGTGTTTGAATTTTCACGTTGACGTCAGCGGGACTGACAGCCACGTCACGGACTCACCTGTGAGCGCCTCCGCCAGCCTGCTCCTGCTGTTCACTGCATGCGACCAGCTAACCTCGGCAGCGTCCATCCTCGTTACAAAACTCCGACTGAAGAAATAGTCCAGCGTTTGGTCACGCATCCCACCTGCGAACAGAACACGAGGGTCG